ACTCGACCCGCGGTAGACTACGTGGGAGTCCAGCGACATAGCCATTACGCTAACTGCTGGTTCCCTCTAAAACAAATTTTTTTAAATAGAAAAAAAACACAAGCGAGGGGATCAGCAGTTAGCGTAATGGCTATGTCGCTGGACTCCCACGTAGTCTACCGCGGTTCGAGTCCCGGACCCAGTGGCTTAAAACTCACGCCAGGCGCGTGTGCGTGCGTGCCCAAGATCCCGAGAGGAGAATGGAGGAGAAGGGATTGCGGCGTGACTATCCCCCCTGGAGGGTGATTTCTCGCTTTCTGTCTCTCTCTGTCTGTCTGGTGAGCGCACGTGCCCTATAGCAAAAACCTCTCCAATAATAATAATAATAATGTCATTAGTATCTTTGCTGATATAAAAAGACGTATGCCATTATGAAACAAGAGTAGCATGGTATCAAAAAGCATGCATGGTCAGCTAGTGGCATGGAGGTTAAGGCACTGGATCCCACATGGCTGACTGCACAGTTCAAGTCCTGGACCCAGCAGCTTGAAAAACATGCTGGAGGGACCAGCACATGGTGCAATGTTTACATCACTGGATTCCCACATGGCCAACCGCAGTTCGAGTCCCAGACCCAGAGCTTGCAACTCACACTGGGTAGGTGTGCATGTGTGCCCCAAATCCCAAGACTGGAGAAGAGATTGCAGCATGGCCAGTCCCCCGGGGGGTAATTTGTGGCTTTTAATCTCTCTCTGTCTCTCCTGCAAGCGCACATACCCTATAGCAAAAATCTCTCCACAAACACATAAATAAATAAAAATACACTGGGTATATATGTGCCCAATGTGCCCAAAATCCTAAGAAGAGAGTGGAGAAGAGATTGTGGCATGGCCATCCCCCTGGCTGGGAGTGGGGGAGTTCTCACTCTCTCTCCTCCTCTCTCCCTCTGTGAGCATACACGCCCTATAGCAAATTAAAAAGAAAAACAGCGGCAGGACCAGCAGTTGGCGTAATGGCTATGTCGCTGGACTCCCATGAAGTAGACCGTGGTTCAAGTCCCGGACCTGGTGGCTTAAACTCACGCCGGACATGTGTGCGTGTGTGCCCAAGATCCCGAGAGGAGAATGGAGGAGAAGGGATTGCGGTGTGGCCATTTCCCCTGGGGGGTGATTTCTCACTTTCTGTCTCTCTCTGTCTTTCTGGAGAGCGCACGTGCCCTATAGCAAAAACCTCTCCAAAAAACAGAAAAAAAAAGAAAAAGAAAAAAAATGAAGAACAGCGGCCAGCAGGTGGCGTGGTGGTTAAGGTACTGGATTCCCACGCGGCCAACTGTGGTTTGAGTTCTGAACTTAGAGGTTGCTTTCTCACTTTCCCTCTCTTTCTCTGTCTCTCTCTGGTCAAATTAAAAAAAAATAATTATGACAAAAATCATTCTTTAAAAAAAAAGAAAATGAAGAAAACAAAAGTGGCTGTCCCAGGCTGTGGCATGGTGTTTAAGGTGGCTGGATCCTACATGGCTGACTGTGGGGTTTGTGTCCCAGACTTGATGGCTTGAGAAACATGCTGGGTGCGTGTATGTATATGCCCAAATTCTAGAAGGAGAATCAGGACCAGCAGATGGCATAATGGTTACATCACTGGACTCCCATGTAGTCGACTGCGGTTCGAGTCCCGGACCCTGTGGTTTGAAACTCATGCTGTGTGTGTGTGTGCGTGCGTGCCCAAGATTCTGAGAGAAGATTGGAGGAGAAAGGATTGTGGTGTGGCCATCCCCTGTGGGGGGTGATGTCTCACTTTCTGTCTCTTTGTCTGTCTCATGTCGCTGCCAAGCGCATATGCCCTATAGCAAAAGCGCTATTAAAAAATGGAGAATGGGGGAGCCAGCAGATGGCGTGGTGGTTAAGGTATTGGAAACTCCCACAAAGCTAACTACGGTTCGAGTCCTGGACCTGGTAGCTTGCTTTCTCACTCTCACTCTCCCTCTTTCTCTCTCCATGTCTCTCTCTGGTCAAATTAAAATGAATGGTTGAATAAATAACAAAATAATTCTTAAAAAAAAAAAAAAAAAAAAGCAGGGGGGAGGAGAAGGGATTGGAGCCATTCCCTCTGGGGGGGGGAGGAAGGTGCTTATTCCCTCTCTGTCTCTCTCGCCACTGAGCACATGTGCCTTATATCAAAATACAAATAAGAAAAGTTGTTGAGTCTAACATACAGCATAGAGATTGGGGCAGCTGGATCCCACATGGCTCAGT